CACGTCAACTACCTGACGTGAGGACGTGAAAACCCTATCCGGGAGACTTGGTCATACAGGTCGCGTTCGGCTCCCTGGATGGGGTCACAGAGATCATGGTAAGCAGGGTTCAAAACACCGAGTGATATGGCTGAAAGTCGCGATGAGTTGCGCGCTTACATTTTCTCATTATCCTTGCAACCTTAATCTCTATGAGTTCTCTATCTTCTTTTTGGCTCTGCTCTCAAAATTCCAATGTTTCTTCTGCTCTTATTCACATGGGCAGTTAAATATAAAAACCGAAACCGGCACACGGAAATGCATGGTTGATGGTTTTAAAAATTAAGGTGAGCTCAGGCCTAATGAATAAACGACTGTGGTCAGGAACCCCCTAGGCCCGAGAATTTGTCAGTCGTCATGCTCTTGGTATATCACCACCACCACCACTACTACTATTACTACTACCACCACTACCAGTTTTGCCGTCCTTGCAGTAAAGAAAGTGCCTGAGACCACCGCTGTATCCTAGATTCAAAAACAGTCTACTATCAGGAGACCTTATCAACATACTCCCATCGGAAGACCAGAATATTAGAGCTTCACCTTCAAAAACGATTGTTAGCCGAGCACCATGTAGTCAGGATGATACCGTTTCTCACACGATGGGATTTCTACATCGACGACGCCTGGCCTGTTGCCAAACAGTGCCTGAGGATTCCTCAATAAATCCTCCTAACTCAAGTGGCGTTTTCAGTGTGATCAGTGGGTTGTTATCCGTGTTACTGTTGCTGTCAGTTGCAGTTTTCGATTCCGAACTATATTCACCGAACGTTCCCACTAATATGCGTAGTTGTGGTGTTTTACTTTATTTTCTCCACGATCTTCAGTGCGAGTGAATCAACCCTGTGGTTTCGGCTCCTAACACACTTTGGTGTAATTAACTGTTTCCAAAATACGATAAATATTTGGTTGGTTTAGCCTATCTCCCCCTCACCCGTGGAGACAGCCAACGAAATTCTTTCGCAAATTACATTACACATTCTTACACAGGGATTTACCCATTTCCTCTCAATGATTTATTGCAATTGCCCGATTCTCAGTGAATGTACGACTGTCCGTCCATTATCTGGACATCAGTTGAATCAGCTAGCTGACTCGCACCCTCTGTACAACTACGTGAAGAAAGCCACCTGGTTTGAAAACCTGCAG